TCTTGCTAAAATAAAAGCTAAGCACAAATCAATAGCAAAAGTATAATTAATTCTTTTTAAGCATATTTAAAACTATTACAGAACAATTAACTCATTTTTTTAGATCTGGCTGACTAAAACCTAATTAATAAGATAGCTCATTTTTGTATAAAGAGTGCACTATTAGTGAATATTGTGAAAAAGTTTATACAAAACCTGAACAATAGATGAGGAGGTATTGAAAGGTTCTCAGTCTGACCCACTTTCTCTAATCTGACACCAAGTATTTTTGGAAGGGCTTTTTGGTTGGGTAAAGAAAATTTTTCACTACCCCCTTTGAGTGTGTATATATATATATATATATATATATATATATATATACACACACACACACACACACACATATACATACATGCACACACGCAGTGTATCAAAAATACTTGGGGGGGCTTTGGGCTGACACCAAAACAAGTTAAAATGTCCATATAAACATTTTTTCAAAAGAGCATCATTGTACCTCAACACACCAACTCATAACAAATGTTCAAAATGTTGTTCACTTGCTTCTACACACACATGCACACATTGGATCATTAACTGGTGAACAATTTCAAATACTATATACACAGTGTCAAATGGTTTCGCAAGACCCCCCACCCCGATACATTGATGGAGCATCTCTGTATTATTAATATCTGCAGCATAAACCAATTGCTTTAGGTGGCCTCACAGAAAAATCTAAAGGATTGAGGTTAGGTGAACATGCAGAACATGGAACCAGTCCTCCCCTTATCCATCTTTCATGGTAGATGTCAGCCAGTGCATCACGAACAATATGACTAAAATGTCCTGGAGCCCCATCATGCATGAACCACATGCATCTTTGTATTAGCAGGGGCACATCCTCTAGCAGACTTGGAAATGTATTTGAAATAAAGTCTCTGTAGACAGCTCCTGTAAAACATGCTGGAACTACATATGGATCTATGAAACAGTCACCTACAATTCCAACCCACAAATTAATCATAAACTGATGCTAATGTCTAGCCTGTATTTTACCATTGGGATTCTGATCCACCTACAAATGTTGGTTGTGTAAACTTGTTATTCCATCTCTTCCAAATGAGGTCTTATCCATAAACAAGACTAAAGAAACAAACAACAGATTGGCAGTTTGTACAATAAACCATCAGCAAAAGTTCTCCTGTGGAGAGTGATCAGAAGGTAAAAGACCCTACACACATTGTAAATAATACAGATACAGGAGCTGCTCTTGAAGTACCTTCTATGCGGTACTATGAGATGTACGACATGCTAGGGCCACTTGATATGTGCTGATACCTGGATTGTGTCTGACAGCTTGTAGAATGTGTTCTTCATGGCGTATGAGCAGATATAGGTCTTCCTTGATCCATAGTTTGTGGTGTCATGGATTCTTTTCTCAGCAATGCAACAATAAACAGCAGCAATGGTTGGACGACTCAGTTGCCTTCATTCTGGAAATGCAATCTGATATAGCCATGCAGCCTCATGTCCATTACCATTCATGGTATGTATGTAAAAAAAAAAAAAAAAAAAAAAAAAGGTGTATATAAAAATCATGTCTGCCTGCTCCCAATATGAATATCCAGGCATTGTTAAACAGAACACTTCTCAGTTAACTCACTACTACATATGTTAAACGTAGAAGACAGACCAGCGACAAATGTACACGAATAGCAAATGTAACCTAGTCTACATGTCAACATCTACTGTAATCTTCCTTTAAACTTAACTCAAAAATGAAGGATTTGTGGACATATGTTTATATGGACATTTGTCCTTGTGTTGGTGTGAGGAACCTGCCCCACAAAGCTTGTAAAAGCATTTTTGATAAACCCTGTCTATATCAGTTTGGTTAAAGACAAACAAAAGTTCCTGGTTAATGAATTTTTAAATTTATTTTCTACATTTCAGATACATATTTAGATATAAATTCTCTGAGTACTTTTGGCTACCATCAGCCATTATCAAAGACTTTTCTTTTGTTTTTTTGCACTATGTTGTTGGTGACAATTGTCTTTAGCCAAACTTGTATAAATTAAAAATTGCTGCACAAATACACACACACACATATATATATATATATATATATATATATATATATATATATATACACACACACACACACACACAAAAAAAAAAAAAACCTTAGTCTTGGACAAGGGAAAAATGAGAGTAAAAACATGATGTCAAACTAATTTTTCAAGTATGGCCCTATATTAATATCAATTAGAAATCCATACTCTATAATTTAGCTTTTATGCAGGCTTAAACACTAACCACTAGCTCTCATAAGAAAATACAAATCCATCTTGTTCATAAAGGGGCATAAATCTTCAACTTATATAAAACCACATATTTTTTAAATACTTAAAATATTTTTTGATTTTTTCATTTAAATCATTTTGTTTCTTAATTATAGAATTTTGCAAGTTAATTTTTTAATAAAATTATACACAAGTATCTTAAATATTTTCTTATTTATTGATTCATTTCTATTAATGTCATTAAAGTTTAGTAATATTAAGTCAAAGTGGTCACATTTGATAAACTGTTCAGTTCAACATGCAGTGTAAAATATATATGGTCATTCATTATCATGGTAGAGGGCTTACTTGTCCCAGTGATCCCAAAAGCAAAGCTGTCTGGAATTCCAACTCCTGTAGTGCCACCAATGGTGGTACAGTCGAAGAGGAAGGACCAGACTGAATGTAACCAACTCCTGAAGGGCCCCAAGGGCCCCAATGACGGAATAGGCAAAAATCTACACAATCTCAATGGCCAAACTGGCAAAAGTGGGTAGCACCAGTTAAGCTGGCATAACCAAGGCAGGCCTTGACAGACTAAGCATCTGACAACCAAGTTTGCCAGATCTTACCTGTCTCAATCCCCTATGAGCTGCAAGGAAAGCAATTCTGGCCAAGTGTGTGAACTTCTATGTGCAAAGTTGTCCACCAAAAACAAATTCATGTGAATGGCCTCATCAAACTCTGATTCACAGCCATCTCTGCAGCCAGAAGAGAGAAAGGGAATAGAGAGAGAGAGGATGATGATCATGATACATGTATGCAAGCTGGTGCTGACAATAACAATCTTTATTACAATGTGGGGTAACATGATGGATCTTTTGATGACCATCAAACCACTGATGTCTATAACTGTGTAGAATAGAAGATTTGTACAACATGTGTGAATGTTTTAAGTGTAAGGATCATTGCATAGAGGCAATCCTACTCTCTCAGCATTAAAGGTCTTTTTTCCTATGATATTATTAAGTCACTTCCTCTACAAACTGATCATGATGAGATTTGAATCAAGGTTTCATGGTTTTAACTACTCAGCCATGGAAAGACCATTGATTGACGTTGGGATCAACTTTTTGTAAAACAGCAATATACCTTGTGATGTTAAACAAAATAGATTTTTTTTTATCACCCTAGTATTTTTTTGTGAGAGTCACCTAATGGACATCCAAAAATTGTAATGAATAAATAAATCATTTCAAACATCAAATCCTGTGAAATGTTAAAAAGGTAGAACATACATTTTTTTACATGGTAAGGAATTAAGTACCTCACTAACTGTAACCTTGTGTCAGACTGAGTCAAAATAGGAAATAAATGGTCGCTCGCAACTCACAATAATCAAATGGTCAGCAAACTCGTTTTTGTCAAATGTCAATTATGGTTAAAAAAAAACTGTTTTTGAACCATAATTGACATTTGACAATTATTACTAAATTTCACTTAAAGATTAACACAGCGTGATTATAAATTATATATAAAATTATTTCCGACTGAAATAACATTAATTAGGTAAATGTATTTTTTTTTAATTCTTATTCCAATGTGTTAGATAACTTTCTCGATTTTAGCGAGAAGAGTTAAGTGGGCGGTGTTTTGTACAAAATGAAAGCAAAAAAAAGTCATCTCAACAAATCTAGGTAAGCAACAAGAAATTTGCAGAAAAAGAATATTATTTCGTATTCCAGTGATGCTTTTAAAAAAGCAACATCTTTTCTTATCTTTAATTGAAAGATAAGGAATGAACTTGTCAAAAAATTCTAATTAATTACAAAAAATACATATGAAAGAGAAAAGTTAAAAATAAAATCTATTTTTACAGACAAAGAAGAGTAATGGCAACAATGTGTTTTGCTTTTGCACAAGATGATCGAGTCGTAAAATGCACTGTAGACAAGCGTGACAATAACATCACCGGTTGGTTTTATTCAATTTTTGCTATATTTGTGCAATCTTTACACTGGTTTTCGCAATCATTAAAATTAGTAACGAAATACGGACTATCGTGTTTTAAAAGGATAACTTTATGAAGAATTTATGTACAATCTGACTCCAAGGGGAAAATGAAAGTACGAAGTAAATAATAATGCCACTATGTTTGAATGAGTGGTGGTCCATATTGTTATTTATTTCGGAAATAGAAATTTGGAAGAACTAAAGTGGGGATTGATTTGAAAATTTTGTTTTCTAATTCAGGTTTCATCCTAATTGTTCTTTTAATTATGACCAGCAACTTATGCGATCTTCCCCGTCTTTTGTGTAGCAGCTAAAAAACAAACCAAAAAGTAAACATTTTTACGCTTAGTTTGACACGTCCATGAAATGAATGTAAACATAAATAAACAATTACAACTACTTTTCAGAAAAAAAGAACTAAATTAGTTATTAATCTTAGAAAAAAAAATAAGAGAAAGAAAAACAATTTTAATGAAAGAAAATAGAAACAGTTGATTTTTTAATCTTTCAACAAATGTTTCCTTTAAAACAGAAACGCAAAACGAAGAGTAAAAAATGTTCTTTTTGGGGGGTTCGATTTCACATTGACTGTTTTCTTTGTTTTAAAACGAGACCATGAAATAATAAAGCAAAATTAATCAACCCTGCTGAACAAGTCATTATTTGTGATGTATGTGGTATATTATGTTATCTGTGTACGCGGAAAGGAGCTTTTTTTACCTTCACGTCATCTTTCGCTGTAGCCCGGTGTGAATTGTGAATGAAATGCCGTAGTAATTTCACCAAATCCTCTTCCACAATCTCCCTTTTGGTTGCCTTACTCATCCTGACTGAATTTACGAGTCTTTACAGCCGAAGAAATCCATAGTACAAACAAAAATGTGACCCAAACTGAATTTAAGCTCACCCCTTTCTTTTTTTTTCTTCACAATCACACTAAAACATCACAATCAAACACGCACTCACAGAGAGCGCTCGTAATCTCCAAGATACACATCTTACCATTGGCTAATAATCAACCATTCGATTAAGCCAAACACAATCTGATTGGTCAGATCGAAACCGTTTCAAAGTTCATTTAAATAACTTGTGTGTGTGCGTGTATTTTTTTTTAATTCGTATCTCATATTGCAAACATGCCTACTTTGTTCTGGAATTATTAAGCATTTTCTTTATTCCGTATTTTTAAACGTACGATATTATTTTTACCGTTATTGATTTATTTTCGACACAATGTTTCGGCTGATATAGTCTTTGGCTTTCCTCAGGAGCATTTGTATTCGGTGGTCGTTTTAAAATTAAAAAATCACTTTTAATTTTTTTTTCTTTTGCATAAGCATTAAGCAAAAACAGAAAAAGTATAAGCGAGTGTAAATTTTAATGGAAACTAGAAATTAAAAAAAAATATATTAGAACGTCTCCCATCAATGAAAGTTCATAAAGAAAGAATTATGGCTATAAAAACGGAACATGAACGTCACCACCATAAAACTAAAAACTAAAAATGGCTCAAAAAGGCCGATAGACGATCTTCCAATCTCGCACGTTCACACGTATAACACTATTGACACGAGATATTTACGATATTATTCACTAATCTTAGCATATTGGGCACAAGGTCATAAATGGGTAACCCAATGAGGATTATTTTTTAAATTTTTTTATAGTAAGGTTCACCTTGTACAAGGCCCAGGGGCCACTTGCGGGGGAGGGTTACGTTAAGAAGACTTAAGAGGCAGTTTATAAAGATAGCGGAGGATGAGAATGTCGGCAACACTTGTTTTGCTTACTTTGAGAGTGACAAGTATGCTTATGCAGGGTCGGTTCGTACTACTGAAACCCCTCGGCTGTGAGTGGGTGGAGGTACAAGAAACCTGATTGAGGGCCCAAACAGTGCTTTTTGTGACCCTCGCTATCTTATCAATGTTTGCTTTTTTCCTATCTACATTTATATTTATTTATTTATATACATTACAAATTAAAAAAAAAAAAAAAAAAAAAACGCAACTAAACACAGCTGACTAAAGGTCAAAGGATGAATTGAAAAGTTTTCGCAGGTTTTCACCTGGGATCTCATTTTTTTTTCGTCCAAATCACTGTAGTCTCAAAAAAACACCATATGAAATAAAATTCACTACTTTTTTTTTTTATCCATAATGTTGATTACTGAATGTGGCTGTAAAATCCTTCAACTTTTTAACAAGAAAAATCTCAAGTTGATGTTAAACTAAAAACTGCCTCAAGCAAAGTAGCAAAACATTGTTGATTTATTTTTTATGGAATGAAGAATGTATTTTTATTATGACATGTCGCTAATTATTTTTAGTTTGTATTTATTTTCAATTGTGCAATTAGGCTAAAAATTAAGTTACAATATAACAATCAATCAATACAAATACATGAAAATTGAGATGTTTAGGTTCAGGGGCCCTGCAAGTATGAGACACCAGTTAATATTGAATTCGGTGGAATAGCTCATTAAGGTTTTTTTCATTGCCGTCTAAACTAGAGCGAGAACTCGTGTGACATTTGATTTCTAGCAGCAAAAGAAAAGAATCGAATGGTTCAAACAAAGCGATTTTTCTTTCTTTTTTTTTTTACACAAAAACATAATATGCACATGATGAGGGATATGGATATCGAACGAAAAAATGTTAATGCCTTAAGTTTTTTTAACATGTTTTAAAAAAAACATAAACAAGAAGAGGATATTCAATTCACATCAACAAATGTACCTCACATGTGTAAAAAAAATGAAAATATTTTTTCTCAGAGTGTAAAAAATGATTCTTTTGCTTGTAAGTTTGTGTTGAGCACATAGCCACAATAATGGGGAACTCAGTGAGGATCGAACTAAATAAACTACTCATATGTCAACCAGACTAGATCGGCAACCCCACAACAAGAACTGTTTTGTTTGGTTTGGTTTGGTGTGGTGTGTTTAACTTACTTTTGATAAAACCTCAGAGTTCTTGGCCTTTATTCGGTTATCAAGCTAATAACAGTTTTTTTTTTTTTGTTTTTTTTTTTTTTGTGAGTTTTATGTCGGTTTTGTTTTACTTCTTTGAGATTACAGTGTAACCCGGATATAAGAGATTTTCTCTGGTCCCGACAACTCTCTTAGAGCCTGTGTTAAAAATAAAATAGACCAAACCCGGATATAAGAGACTTCTTCTCTGGTCCCGACAACTCTCTTATATCCGGGTTACACTGTATCTTTTATCATATTGGAAAAGAAAACCTGTTAAATTTCGTGTAATTATTCACTTTTCTTCCCTCCCCTTTTTCAATACGAGTCGTATAAGCAAAAATAGGAAATAACTAGTAGTATTAGTGACAGCCAATCAAATAACTCCTTTTAAAAAACTACGGCAGCTGTTCCGACGCTCGAACCAAAGTAGGGAGGTGCAGTCTGTCAGCAAATATGTTTTTTTTTTATTAACAACGTATAATTTAATTGACCATTAAATATGTCTCGTAACTGGAAAAAGATCGTGTGCGCCATTTCTGGAGGCGTAGATAGCGCTGTCGCTGCCATTCTGCTCAAGAGAAGAGGTAACAATTTACTGTTACAAGACTGGATGTTCAACATTGTAACCAACGCACACTACAAAACAATTTCTTTTTACTGCTTAAATTTTATTATACAGTTTCACTTGACAAATTTATTACCATTTATTCTAATTAGGAATTACATATTTATTTTTCTGTAGTATTACACTTTACTTTATCTTTTAAAACTATATGCGGCTAAAATGCCCGTGTAACCGGCTATTGGGCTATTGAATCCTCACATAAAAACGGTAGACCCCTAGCCACGTGTTTAATTCCCAACCAATTATCTTCTCTTAAAACAACTAAAAATGCCTTAAATCTTTGTTATTTGAAAGATGTGCAGAGATTTAACTTAGATAATGTTTAAATAAACACACGAAAAATATTTCATTATGTATTAATTAAAAACAAACAAAAAGTGAACTTTAAATAAAAATGACATTTTACTTGAAATTTTTTTTTTTTTTTTTTTATGAAACCTTAAGGACGTGTAGAGAATTTTTTTTGTTTTTGTTATTTGATTTCGAAAGTCCTATCCCGAGTAAGTATTTTTAAAGATCATGGTACCTCTTCGTGTTAATTCACATTTAGAATAGAATATCTTCATCTTTTCGATATTTCACTGAAATTGAGAAATATTTGCTTCTGAAACAAATTTCACTTCAGTTTTTTTTTTCTTCACTCACCAATCAATCAATCACCAAATATTTTTTTTCAGTCTGCTAAAGTATAACTTCAAACTTTGAAAAATATTCTTACTTCTGAAGTACCGCACAAAAAAAGAAAAAAGATGGGCAAGACACAGTTCTTTAATCAAACTTTTTTCGACTTGAGTTGATAATTTATCAGAGATAACTTGAAAAGAAGTTACTGTTCGGTAACTAAAAGTCAATTTTTAAATTTCTTTCGTTTGCTTAACTTTTTTTAAGAGTGTACTCGATCATAGTTCTCCACAACTTCTTTTATTGCTCTAAATATTGATCCATTACTACCCTTGTTCTGTCGTCTATTGATTCAAACTCAAGTAGGTTACTCCCTGTTTTTCACTGCTTTTCTTGCCTTCAGTATGTCCTGTGCTGTAAGTGTTAAATTCTCTAGACTCTCTTTCCTCATTATGCGTCCCAGAAATTTCAGCTGTCTCTTTAGTCTAAGTGTCAGTTTCTATGTTCCTATTTTCCTTAAAACTTCATCACTACTCAAAAGTTCTACACATGCTTTTCTCGGCATTTGTTTTAGTAGAACCACACCTCTGTTTCTTCCAATCTCTTCATATGTGTGGAGATTGTCCAACATTCACTAACATATAGGAGATTAGATATTATATAGCAATTCGGTATTCTTTTCTTTGTTTCTAATGACCTTTTTATCTTTCGTAACACTTTACTTAGCTTCTGAAGAAGAGCAACTTTCACCAATCCTATGTTCCTTCAGATTTCTGTGTTACACACACACATTATTACTTAGTTAAATTTCTGTACCTGCTTGATTTTAATGTCCCAATACACAGCTCAAACCTTGGGTTGTCCCTTTTGTTAACACCCATAAACACTTTACAGTTTATTTTCAATATTAAAAATGTTAGTTTATTTGGAGGTAAAGTAAGTTTTCATTTATAGAAAAAAAAATTTTTTAATTTTAAATGTGTCAAAAACAAAATCAAATTCATAAACAATTATAAAAAAAAAAACACAACATTACCAAATTTGGGACATAAATTTAGATAATTGGACTGAGTTATTAAAATGTTTCATAATAGAAAAACCAAACAGTAATAATAAAAACTATGCAAGTGTTGCCCTCTAAATCGGCAATTCCTGTGTTACACTTCAAGTGGTAAAACGTGTATTTTTATTTGATTCCTACTACAATTACACTTGATAGTTTAAGAGTAATGCAGTACAATTATCTACTATTAACAATACTGTTAACCATTATAACAAAGAAACAAGTATTGTATGTAAAAACACATATGAGCTCTCCCTCCATTTCAGCAGAGAATATGAAGGAAAAATTGTTGGATGGTATATTGAATGTTACTGGGCCTTCACTCCTGTTTCCTATTTGGTCAATCTCAAAACGAGTGGGGGTGGGGGTGAATCTTGTATACAATCAAATACAGGATGTTATAGAAATTTAAAGTAGAATTATAAAATCAGTCCAATGCAAACTGGAGTTAGTCCAAGCTGGAAGCTGTTTTGAGCACAAGTTGTGATAAGCTAAAAATTTACAGATTCCAATCCTAACTTAAAATAGAAAAAACTTACAATGTTATAAAAACAGTAGATTTTTATATTGTCTATGTTTTGAGCATTAACCCCACTTTTTTCTGAAGAAATATTTGTAATTTCACTTCTGTTAAGTGCTAGACATGAAATGTGTTTGAGCGATCATGTCTCTTTCATGACTGACTAGGTAAAAAAATTTTCCCACAGTAAGCTACCAATTTTTTTTTCTGCACTAGAATTGTTGTCATTCAAAGCTATAAGACCCAGTCTGTCCTGCTATTCAAACCATAGCTGAGGGGGAGATGGATTCATGCCTTTCTCAAGCCTGTTTGCACTTAAGTGAATGTAACAAACCCAAATGGAATTCAAACTCTGCTTTCCGATTTTTCATTCTGAGCTGATATCCATTACACCACAATGCACATCCTCACACTTTTACTTAATGTTTTAAAATATAAATTTCCTGTGTCAAATAAGTTCCCAGTGAAATCAGCTATATTTGTGACTCAAGATAGAAACAATTTTGTGTTGATTCATAACACAAGACCTAGACATTATTTGTTTGCTATTTCCCAAAGAGTGCATCAGAGAGTTGATAAATGAAAAATCTGCATTGAATGGAATATGATACAAAGCCATGTTTAAAGTGTAATTCCACTTGTATATTGGACTTTTCCTATTAGGATACCTTAGGCATTACGGATTAATCCTAGCCCTTCCCTTTTAATAAAATAGGAACTGCCTGGAAAGATGGCTTTCTGGAGCTGAGCTGAATATTTTTTTTTTAAATTTGCAGTTGGGGTTCTAAATTTATTTATAATCAATTTAGAGTAAATATAAACAAATTACATAAGTGTAAACACTGATACTGGAAGAAACAAACAATAGTGGGCATAACTTATTTCCTCCAAATTTATATTTGATGAACAAAGAAGGTTCTTGAAAATACGTTTTTTTTTTTTTTTGATTTGAAACTTAACCTAATTAAGAATTTTTTCTGTTGATTTTCTGGATTTGAAGGAAGAGTGTTTCATATTATTTACACAATGTTCATGAAGTTGTAGATAGTTAAGATGCTTTAGAATTGGTATTTGTTGGAATAATGGTCATATTCATGATGTATCCGGCAATAGTTTGAGATCACTCCAAGGCAGTGAATAATACATTAAATAAATGAAGTTTCCACTTGTAAAGTCTTTCTCCTATTTCCATGTAGGAATTAATAAATTCATCTACCTGGAAAGAATATCTCTTTTTTCCCAGACTTCTTCACACTTTTTGTAAATAGTTAGAATGTTGCTGCCACATATGGTCTGGTGCTCCTGCTATATATTTTTTAAAGATTCATGATAAAATCCAAAGAAGAATCAGCAATATTATTGGTCCTAGCCTGGCATCTCAGCTTCAGCTACTTTCCCACTGCTGTAATGTAGTTTCTGCATGCCTTTTCTATAAATACTTTCATGGTAATTGTTCAGATGAGCTCTTCACCATGGTACCTAGACTTTATGAATTTAAGTGCAGTACTAGATTGACAAGGTCTCATCAATTTCTGTTGAATTGGCTCAATATAGCCATAAGTTCTATGCTAACAGTTTCTTTTCTCACACTTCTCACTTGTGGAAATCACTTCCAGCTCCATTATTTCCAGTAAACATTGATCTTCAAAAATGTAAATGCAATGTCAAGTGTTATTTACTGTCTTCCTTATTGCTCTTGTTCTTTAGTAATGTTTCTGCTTTCTAATTCTTTTATATCCAGTATCCCTTGTGTCTTTGTGTATTTACTGCCTTGCTTAGGGAAAAAAAAACAGGTTAAAAAAATACTTTGTGTTAGTAAATTCATCAATTTTAGATAATTATCTTCAGCTAATTGTGTGAAAATAAAAATATTACACTAGAATTCTCACTAAACCAAATATGGTGTCAAAATATACTCTGCAAATTTTTATTTAAGCAGTAAAAATAAAGTTCCTTTTGAAAGTTCCCACTTTCCATTCTTTATGTAAATTATCACTTTTACCTAAAATTAGTTAAAATTGAATATTAATTTTATATTTCGGATGGGATCTATGAAAACCAACATTGTTAATGTTTCAATCATTAAGAACATCATCAGAACAACTGAAAAATTAAGGAAAATGACAACATTGGTACTTAAAAATGCTATAATTAATTTGAAAATTTAACAATCAATGAAATTAAGAATAAATATTTGTGAGTAAAATATCTGAAATATCGGTGAGATTTATACATAAGCAAATCTTAAAATAAATGTAAAATATGATGATTTAGGAAAAATAAAATTTAAAGCTATGGTAAGAAAATAATGAATATACAATACAGTTCAAAAGTTTGAGGCCACTCCTGGTAATTTTCTAAATTGGCCCCAAAAGTAGTTGCTTTGTACTTTAAATCAGAGAAAATTATTAAATATGGTTAAAAAAAGTGAGACATGATTTTTATTAGAAATTTTATTATGACAAAAAGAACAAAAGCCTTTTATGATTAAATTTTGCTCTCATCAAAATATCCTCCTTGGTTACTGCAGCTAAATTTTTGGCATTCATTGCAAAGGTTTCTCAACGTATAAGTTTGATAATTGATTCCATTCTTTTTTTCAATGACTCTAAGAGCTCTTTTTCATTTCTGTCAAGTTCATCCCATGTTAATTTTGGGAGTGACTTCAAACTTTTGAACTGTAGTGTATATAATTCAAATTATAATTTATGACAATATTATTTAGGTGTTAAATAAAATATAGAATTAAATTGAA